ATTGGACAGACAGAGTAAGCAGCATTTAGGAAAATCTGGGTGGTTTTTGTTTGGTTTCAGTTTTTGTGATTTTTTTTCTCCAGAGAGAGATGGTTTTATTTGGCCAGAAGAAGTTTAGCAAAGCTAGCCAAGGAAGATTAACAGTCAAGTGAGGCAAAATGTGTGTGTACAGACTGGTTGTTGTTGTTTATGCTTTGTCTTGTAGGCACTGTGTCCTGGGAGAGCAAATAAATCAAGCTGTGTTTTGAGTAGCTAATCTGCTCGGCGCAGGGTACGGAAGGGAGGGCTTGTGGGTGCCAAGCTCTGCTGGGTTACGAAGCAGAGAGGAGATAATGGGGGATCAATGGGAAGCGGTCCCTAATAGGGAATTGCTTCAGGTGCGGATGCCAGAAGGTGAGCCTGCCAGCAGCTTCTCGTCCAGAACTTGTCACAGTTTGCCTGCGTGTTTGACAGGTGGCACGGCTGTTTCATCACATCACTGGGAACTGAGATCTGTAATAGATGAACTTTATTCTTTTGCTTTGTTCTTGTGATAGGGACGACTGCGAATGGAAAGAGCTTTTGCTAGCCACAAGGACAAAATCAGAATTATTTAGGATTGCTGTCCCAAGCAACAAAAAGAGTTTTCATAGGTGATCTCTTGGTGGAGAACCCCCTATCCTAAATCAAGAACTGCTTTCCATGTAGCATCAGAGAATTCATGGATTCTGGATTTTCTCGGTGACGTTTTTAAGGGTTGTTTAGTTTTGGAAAAATGCTGTTGTGCCATATGGTTTCACTTGTTACAAAATAGCGTAGGAACAGCAAGTAATATTACAGTTCTGTTTATTTTACAGATACTAGCATTCATGCTGTTTCCACACATAGATCATACATGTTCTTTTATTCTGCTTGAGGCATCAGCTGATGGAAATAAATAAATGATACATCGCTGCCTCTTCACCCATAGATTTAAATGTTCTCTATGCTTTTATCAGTAGACTGTTATCTGGTGAGCCTTTTGTAGTTCCTTGCACTGACAAAAACTGCAATTTTCTATGTAAAGGAAGAATTTTCCCTCTTAGATTTATGCTTGTGGGTTTTGGTTTTTTTTTTTTCAGTGTTTCAACTGAAAGAGTCCCCTGGAGTTACCAGCATAAAGTTAGTAAATACTCAGAGGAGTTCTGTAAATAAACGGGTTTAAACAAATGTAGGGTCTTCACCTGTGTACACTGTGGAAAGGAGCAGAAAATGGGCACTCTAGAGCAAAAATGAGATAGTGTTTCTCATTTTCTGTACGTGAGTAAGGGTTGTTCATGTCTCAGTCGTCACAAGATGTGTTTTGTCTGGTGGGGCTGATTCAGCCATCCTCTACTATTTCCAGATTTTCTCTGGCAGAAGAGTTTCCCCAGGGGGTGGAAAGAGGCGAGTTAATAAATTTTTTGTACATGTCTAGAATCCTAGTGGGGATTCACTTTGGTGACAGTTTTATTTATGGTTTGTATAGTGGGATGGTAAATGGTAAAAGAAAAATACTGGAGGGCATGTTCACTTTTGGTACATTCATGGCAAGAATCATTTGGGATAGGTCACTGTCTTTTCTAACAGTGCTTTCCTGGGTATGAATAGATTATTATGTTTATTATTATTCCATTAGGGTAATAGGGAGAATTTTGCCTTTTGTTTCTAGATGTTTTCTGACATTTTTTCTTCACTTTTCAATGATGTTCTTTTACAGAGGAGAAAATTTTTGACTGGAGGTAGAGCTCATACTTGCACTTTTATTCAACAATCTGTTCTTATTTTTTGTTTAATAACTTTTAATTTTCATATTAAAAAATAAAAGTTACATTCTGAATTATGAAATCCATAAGGTCAGTCTGCTAGCTTAAACATTTGTTTAAAATATACATTTTTTTGCCCCTTTTAACAGACTGGTCAAATTTATGAGTGTAGAGTCTGAAAAGTGGGTGCCTTTTTGATCCAAAGCTAAAGTAGATAGTTGGAATGTTGAAATGTTCCTGAACATAGGCACTCAACCTTAAAGTAAAATACACAGCTAAAGTGGAAACTCATTTAACACTAGATTTATTTCTTGGATTTCATCATTAAATGAGGTGAGAAAAGGTTGATAATTTAGTCAGCCGCATATATTGTGCAAAGGTTTTATAAATGACAAAACAATATCAGACCTTCATCTGTCTGTAAAGTGTTACAAATCAGAAAGCTGTAAAGTAGGGGATATTCCACAGACTTCACTGTGAATTCTAGAGCTTTCGGTCCCAAGGGCTCTTCTGTCAACTACTCTGCGAAAGGAGACTTTCTGGAATAGACTAAAAAGTGGTAGGATATCTTGAGTGCAGTCAGTTACCTAAGTGGAACCCACCCTATAGCAGAATGTGTCATGATGTATGTGATTATCTGCAATCTTATCAGTGATAACTTTCTATTTAAAAAAAGCAGATTTCTTCAGAATCCAGCGAAGCGAGTAATAAAGTTGTACCTAGTGACTTTATACTCCTGAAGTACTACTGGCTTGATTACCTAGTGTAGTAAATAGGTTAGTTACTAGCTGTTTACCTATGCAAGTGGTTGAGAACACCATGGGCTGAAGGAATCAAGGCAATTGAATATTGGCAACCAGCTTCCAAGTAAAACTTTGTATGGGCCTTCTCTGAGTAAGAATCTTCTGATACCACTGATGATTTTGTAGAAACAAATTATGTAGCAGTAATGGCACTGGTTTTTATTCTCACCTGTTTCTTCTGTCAAGATCATGCTGTTGCTCTAATAACCTTAATGATGCTTCATGGGTTTCTTGTTTCTCTTCTCTGAATAAGGCCTGTTCTGAAAAGTCTTTGGTTTTCTGTACCAAGTAGGATATTGTGCATCCTTCCTGTGTTAATTTACCAGTTGTGTCTTTTTATTAGTTCTCTTCGGTTTGTCTTTTTGCTTCAGTTATTAAAACTTTTGGAAATACAAGTACACATCCTTTTTACCTCGTGTTTTCTTGCGCTTTACCAGCTGGAGCACCTTGTGCAAAACTAGTGAATCTTTTGAAATGAACTCCGAGATTTAATCCAGGCACTGCTAATCCAAGGAAACTTTACGAATGACTAGGCTTCATTTTTATGTAATCTGCTTTATGATTCTTTTTAAATAGAAGAATTTACGTAGTATCTTTTGACATAGAACTACCTAAATCATAATATGTCTTTAAGCAGAAGAATAATTGTAGTCTTAATTGATTCATTGGTGTTCTTATGATGAACAGAATTGTAATCTCTCCTTCACATTTGTGATTACAAATGTCAGCTAAATTCTGAGAATAGGAATGAAAACCTAAAAGATTTTTTTTTAAAGTCATTATAGGGTCAAATAAATGTGGCTATCTCTGAACTGTTCACTAATCAAAGCTGCTTTTGGACTCAAAACTTCTGATAGGCAGCCGTGCCTTATGAGGACCTCCAAGGGGCATCTTCTGCTAATTTTTAAGATGGAAGAGCTGACAGGCAAAATGTGATTTTTCCTTTGCCCTTGTAGTTCGCTCCCTCCTTCCCCTCATACATCTATCTCTACTTTATTTATAGCCTTACTGATTTGTGAAATGTTACTAGATGAGCTAATTTTTCTATTTCATACTGTTTTTAAAAAAAGTCCTGGAAAAGCCACCTTGTCTCCTTGCTCAGTTGTTTCTGCACAGTATTTGAGTTTTATCTGTGCCTTGCCTGTCATCGTGTTCTCTTTCTCGATGTCCCCATTGCAATATGTTTTGTTAAGCTTGTTTGCTCTTCCCTTCCACGGCAGACCCTCATCAGCCTGTACATCCTTTCACTAACTCATTTGTGTTTTATTGGAGGTCTCACACCTTCCAGTTTTCTGAACTTAATTTCTCTTCTGTTTGGTGCCCCTTCTTCACTTTCTGTCTCTGTTTCTTCTTCATCTGTCCTTACCACTTTCTCTCATCACTTGGCTTCTGTGCAGGTCATAATATTCCAGTTTTCTCCACCCTTTTTTTTTTTTTTTAGCTCTTCCTTGATATAGGCAGCTTCCACAGTGTCCTTGAGCAGGGAGTGAAGACTTAAGATGGATTGTTGCGTTGATCCTGATACACTGTAGATGTAGCAGCCCACCTAGAGCATGGTCAGTGCACTGAAACTAGGTAACTTAGGCGACTAAGAAATCTCTGCTGAGCAAGTATGACTTTCGGATTACTTGATTAAAAAAGAAAATTAAATATTTTTTCACAGGAATGGTTAGACGAATGTATTTAACTTGAGGGCCGTCTTCTGATATGTCTCATAGTGTGCTTTTCGATCATTCATTTGGTGGAATGCTTTCATGCAAAAGAAAAGCCACACACAAGCGATTTTTTTTTTTTTCTGATACACTTCTACTTCAGTCAGAATATTTTGTGGATCTCAATCTTGAAAGCAACTAAAAATGCTGATTTCATAACAGAATGTGCCTAGGTGGGTTTATATATAGCGCATTCCTGTCTGTAGCAAAATATGAAAACGATATTAATTTAATTTCAATATTATGCGTATTTGTAAGGAAATTCCGAACATAACTATTTCTATCTCTTTGTAGCTACATTTTTCTTTTGTCTTAATATTTGAGTGACAGACAATATCCTGCTGTTATTTTTACTAAATAGAATAAATATAATGCTGCATTTTATAAAGCTTCCAATCTGTAATGAAAGTTAAATGATTGCTGTAATGGTATCTTGTATTTAGACAGTCAGCCTTACTCCACTCCTTTGCCTTCAGTAGCAACCTGCTTGATTTCATTTTATATATCCTTTCTTTTTAAGACCACATTGAGTTATTTTTTAAATACTTAAAATCTACTAATCTAGATAGAAGACTAAAATGTGCTATAAGCTTTATAGAGATGCCCCCAAGCTCTTGCTTGAAGTCTGTAGGAGCTCTAAGGATGCAAAGACAGAATATAGGTACAAAGTGCTCGAAGGTTAAGCTTCAACATTCCTCATATCCTTATCCTCAATTGCAGAATCTTTTGGCTGAGAAGGTGGAACAGCTGATGGAGTGGAGCTCAAGGCGCTCGGTCATCCGCATGAATGGAGACAAATTCCGAAGATTTGTGAAGGCTCCACCTCGTAACTACTCTGTGGTAGTGATGTTCACAGCTCTCCAGCCGCAGCGGCAGTGCTCTGTTTGCAGGTAATTTATACCTTTGTGATCTTTTTCATCTTCCTCACCGCAGTTTTCAAGTGAACATTTTAATCAATGTGCAGTACTCTGAGTAGGATTGTTCTCTGCATGGGACAGTTGCTTACTATTTAACAGGCCCTTGTGTTTGTCCCAGCATCTTTTCAACTGCCTTTTAATCTATATGTCAGAATTTAGAAGTCTTCTTAGTTTTGGGTTTCATTAAGTTCATTTGAATAAAATTTACACAGCTGAGGAAGACTTTCCCTTCAAGAAATCTGCTTTATTTTATTATCAGTTGACCTTGATCTTTCCAAAGACATTTTGTGACAGAAGAGTTTCATTACCATTTAGTAGTATGACACTTCATTGATTTCTTCAGTTAAGAGATGTCCAAGGCTCTGATGCAGATGTGAGTTACCCTGCGATTTCACAGCTTTGGACAGTTCTTACATGCAAGCGCCTTTTTCCACGTGGACACGCTTATTGTGGAATAATGCCTGGCACTGTACTGTGGTATGTTCTGGTGGCTCCGTTTAGAGTACGTATTAGAGTGGCTCTGGTATTCTTCTGAGTTCAAGATCTTTCTCTGCAAGTTCCTACTTCAATAAATTAATCCAAAAATGACTAATGATAGACATGGAAATAGGGCCAAGGCACTGAAAGGTAGTCAAGCACTTAATTACCTTACTAAATCAGAAACTGAGCTAATAAAACCTTCTTCAGCCAAAGAAATTAGAAATTAGCATTAGAAATTACTGTGTTTAGTAATAGATGGGATTATTGTGCGGAGAGTTCTAAACAGTAGGCAGAAAAATACTTCATTGAACTATGAAATTCATAAGCTGTCTATGAAGGAGTGTTATTTCTTGGTTTTAAAGAGGTGCAGGTTAAACAATACACAAAGTTGGTACACGTAGCTGCTTGTTACATTTCTGAGGTGTTGGAATGCACCATTTACAACAGAAACTTTTAACTTGTGTGCCTGTAGTCATGTACAGTTTTTATCAGGTTTTTTTAATAGATTAATCTTTTGTCATTGAAGTTGGTCAGTTTGGAGGGGAAGTGTATAAATTGCATTCCCATGAGTTCACCCGTCACATCTGAACTGAAGGTGAAGGAGTAGGTATGGAAGCTTTCCAACGTTCTTAAGTCAAAGGATTTTTTTCTTTAGAACTTCCAGCACTTCATTGCTGTTATTTCTTCTTTGTGTTGCCAGAGTTCAACTTTAGGAGGTGAAATAGGAGTTGAAAGTATTTTTTTAAAATCATTTCTTATTTTCATAGCCAGTAGATAAAGCTACAGAAGATGCACTAAATTCAGCCTTAGAAGGGTCAGTGTATTCGTAATTCTTTCCCTGTGTTGTGTACAACTCTTTTGTAGGGCATGTGAAAACAACATAAATATTGCCATTATTAAGGAATTTAATTTTGCTTACAACTGTGTATTGTTTACTGTATTGAAAAAGAGCTTGTAAACTTCATCCTGTAATATCCCAGCCTAGCCATTTATGTACAGAAGCAACTGAAAATCTTTAAGCATAAAATGAAGGAAAAAAAATCCGCATACTGCTTTGTTTGGTTTGTTTAAATAAATGTGAAGTTGCGATCGGCTTTTTCTTGTGAAATAAAAGGAACTTAATGAGGTTGATCGTACTGCACATAAAACCATTATCAGGAAAATTGACATTTTCAAATCAATGGCTAATTAATGGACAGGAGCGCTGAAAGGATGTACAGAACCGAAATGCATGCATTACTTTATTGTTAGCTATTCACTAGCCACTTTGCCTAAAGGAAAAATAGATTTTTAACTTCATCTGTGATGTTCTGTGAGGATGCCTTTGTCCAAGATTTAAGTTAACTGTTACTCGTCAAAATACTTTGAGAACAATTTTATACAAAAAAGTCAATGTCATATTTCAAATATAGAAAAAACACTTGGAGTGGAGTCTTTGAATAACTTTGTCACAAGAATTAGTACTTCCCCCCCCCTCCCCCAATATTGAGCCTGGTTAATTTATGCACCACAAAATTATTTTAAAAAAAAAATGGTTTTCTCTTTTCCCTTTGGTGGCTAGATTTGACAATTCAGTATTTTCTCTCTACTAAATGTCCAGATTATAAAGAACAGGGGCACAGTATTTTCAAAAGGGAAAAAAAAAGATGTTTGTGTGCTGCTGTTCCATAGAGCTATGTCAAATGCTAAGCATGAAAACCACAGCATTGTGCAGAAAAAAGAGAACAGGATGGGGAGCAATGGTAGGAGATGTGGTCCTCTTCTGGAGGAGAGCAGTGAAAGCTCATCGTCGTTAGAGCAGGCCATTGCAGATTTGCGCATTTGAGGCCTGAAGAGATCAAGCGTGTCCCGTCTTGTTGAAATAAACTACGTTGTTTGTGTATCGGATGTTGTGTTTGGTTATGTTTCGAATGTTTGTTACTGAGTCCCTGCTTCCAGTAAAATCAGTATGACTTCTCTGGTAGGTGTTTTGAGTGATCGTGGCGCCAAAGGTGGAGAGGTGGTCTCTTGAATTCAGGAAGTCAGTGTCACTTTTGGCGCTCTTCAAAGTGGATGCAAAGTCAGACTAAGGGCTGTTGTGCCCATCCATTGCTGAGAAGTGCTGTAGTTTGGATGTTGTCTATGTTTGGATGTTGGTATGAAGGATTCCTGCCCCCCAGTCCCCTCCATCCTTTTTAACACCGGAGAAGTTCCAAATCTAAGATAAAACTTGGCTGAGGTGAACTTAACCAAGTCTTAAAACCCTTGGAGGCATGATCTTTAAGCATTTAACAGAAGTCTTAACCTATCCATAGAGCACGGACCTACATGTGGAAAGCTGACCACATTTGTCTCGGAGAATCCAAGGCTTTTCTGTGCGCAGCAGGAAGGACGTTGTAACTTTGATCACGTAAATCACTTTAGTGATTTGAGAAAGTATACAGAAACAATACCAACGTACTCTTAAAATGCCAAATACAAAGAAGTCCCTGGCATTCCAGGTATTTGGATGAAACTTCTATATGTAAAAAAATATCCTTTCAGTCAAAGGAGCCGATTTTTTTTCTGTTAAACCAAAGCATGTTGTGTGTTTTGTAGTTGTTCTCCAGAAAATGTTACTTAACATAAGATCTTTTTTTTTCCAATGGAATGAGAAGGGTTTCTTTATTGTTGCAGGAGATGGATACATAATCATATGTATCATCTTGAGAAAGATGAGTTAGAAAAATCTTTTCAATGCTTTGTTTGCCAATTGTTTGAAACCTGTTCATGCAGTGCTAGGCATGTTAGTTCCTGATACAGGTCATACTGTTGCATTTAATATTTGGCCTTCACTTAATTTTGCTTAATTTGCTTCTCATTTTTCACATTATCCCTTTTCAAGATGTACTTTTAAAAGTCAGCAATCATATGTCTGCATTACCAATTGGAATTTATTCTATGCCTAGAACAAATTTGGTTGATTTCTAGGTGTTTCTAAAAGACACCTGCCAGTTTATTGTCTTTGAGACAGAGATTAGTTCTGTATTCATCTTAATGAAATATTTTCGCAAACTGTGGACTGGAAAATATATCCGTAGGCTATCTGCATCCATCCAGTCCTAACACCTGAAGGCTTCTGTAAACCAGCAGTTCTGTATACGTGTTGGTGGTGCCTCTTGTCATGCCTCTAGAATGTTTTTCAAGGAAATTCTGTCTTTATCCTAAAGCAGAATTTGGAGTACAACGTTTTCATCCACCTTTGTGGACAAGCAAGTTTCAATTTTCTGGTCCAAAAAGCTATTGAAACCCGTCTGATGCCTTCAGACTTTACATCTTGTTACTATTCTTGGTGTTTGTACTCTGCAGCAGCACATTGGAAGCCCTTTGGCGCACTGTGATGATGAATCAGTTTGGGTTTTTTTGGTTTGGATGAACACTCAGAAGTAATCTAACTCTAAACAGTGACTTCTCAGGAAATATAACCAGTTTCCCTTTTACCTTCGTGCTTAGGTATTCACTCAACTAGGTAGCTTCTCTCTGTTACCCATGTCATTCAGTCACACTACTGAAAAAAATCATGTATGTATGCACAAAGGAGAACAAAAGAACAGTCACTCTGACAAGAGCATCTTCACAGAGACGAAGAGACGATTTCTCAGCCTGTACTTTCTATTGCATCCAGGCAAACGGTAACTACTAGCCAGATTTGAGTGCGTTTTTGGGTGAGAATTCTCTTCCAGCTTCTCTGCCCTTTGTCTTCTTGCCTCTTGCAGTCTGCTCCCCCATTTTATTATCACTACATTTTCGCAAAGGGATCAGCACCATTTTACCAGCCAGGCTTCAGTGCCCCCCCAGCTACACTTGTCTGCGTGCTGGGGCTTTGATTTTCAGCGGCACATGGGCTGTAGCTCTCGCCTGCTGAAACCATCGTTGTGCTGACTGTTCCTCTGCTTCGTTCATTGTTATCACTAACTTGTTCTTTTTTGCTTGTTGCTGTACCATCTAATCACTCCATAAGCAAATTATATGAGGTCTTTTATTTTACTTGCTGAGCTCTGCTTCTCTCATCTTGCTGGCAAACAACTATCTCTCCTTTGCATACAGGTGCGTATCAGAGATGCCTTGTTTGTTGCCAAACAGCTCATATTTTTGTCTAATTCATTTTACAAATTCATTGCTGGAGTATTTTGACTTAGAAAGGTGTATCTGGGTCAGAGGAATGAAACTGGGCACTTGAGGTTTTTTTTCCCCAACAGCTGAAGCACATCAACAAAAAGATGCATATTTTGTTTTGTTGTTTTTTTTTTTTTCCTTAGAGGAGTGTTCCTTGAAAAGATCAGAGCAGTGTCAGAGGCTAAAGATAATGGAGTTTCAGTGGACAGGGTCTATGCCTTGACCTGTGCCACTAGTTTGTTACGTGATAATGGTTAAAAATTTAAATTAGACATGTACATCGCTGTGAATTTCAAGCTACCTGAAACAAATGGATTTTGTTTTGCATGCTGTCTACTATGCTTGTTTATGCCTGTGAATTCCCAAATGTTTCTTTTAAAGAGGTAACTGAGCCTGTTTGAATCATTGCAAATCAAGATCAAAGCCTAGAATTAGCATCGGAAATGATCAGGAGAAAAATGAAGAAATGCTGCAGAGGAAGACTATGGTAATGGCAGGTAACCTCTTGTGGAGGCAAGCTTGTCAACTGCACAAACTGAAAATTGTGTTGTTTGAGTCCTGGATAATGTTTAATAGTATTTTACTGTGGAAGTGACAAAACTGCTTTCAGATTCTTGGAAAACGCAGTTTTTTCAAAGACAGTATTTATGAAGAAGCAACTAGAAATGACTGGTAATGCTGCAGAGTTTGTGTAGCCAGTAGTCTTCTTCACCCCCATGCTGACCAGACTATTACGTTTTTAAAAGCATCAGAAGTTTCATTATATTGAAAGGAGCACTGATTACTCCAGTTAGCTGAAGCTAAATGTGTGTAAATACACATATAAAGTATATACATAAAATATATATGTAGGACATGAGTGAGATGGGCCAGTTTTTCAGGTGTGGCACATCTTTTCTAAAAACTTCTTTTGTTTCATTTGAGTGACAAGGCTGACTTCTGTCAGAAATTATTAACGGCGTCTATTGGAACAAGCTTGTAGTTGCTGCAGAAAGCCTGCTGCAGAATGAGCTCAGAACCAACTGCTTAAGATACTCCTTCTGTAGTTCTTACAGAATTATATAAGAGGTAAGTTGTAATTCAACATAGAGTTTGTGTATTTTCAAGTTTTGAGCTTAATGTAGTACGTGTTTCATGAAGGGCTCTGAATGTAGCTGCCTTCTCCTGTTGACTCACAGTGTATGGGAAGGAATGCCAAAATATATGAGAGAAGAGATTCCACATAATTTTATTAACATCTACCCCATGAATGAGACCTCCAAGAGGAAGTTTTTAATCTAGAAAAGAGAGGCATTCTGCTGGTTTCCCTGTTCAGTGAGATATCTTAGAAAACTGTTTTCAAGTAGCTGATCAAAGAGTGGGTCAACAGCAGAAAGAATTCTGACAGTCAAGGAGGTGTCACCAGAAAGAAGAAACGGGATCCTCTGCCTTTCAGTTTTTTGCTGGTTGATCAGCAGCAGGTAGCAAGAAAATCAGTGACAGATCTCTTAACTGTGCTGAGAGGGAATTATCTTTTGAACTTTTGTTCAAAGAAGGAACAGGAAATGTGGAAAGGAGCTGTTGAAAGTTCTTCAGTTGCTTTTCCAGTGCACTTCAGGATCTTGATGGAAGTATTGATGAGTCCTGTTTAACAAGGCAATAATTTTAAACTTGGATCGTAAGAGACTCCTGATTCTTCCTGTGGTCACAATTTTTTTTTCTTTTTTACTTTGCAACTTCTACAAAATGTGATGTCATAGCTTTTTTTCATCTGCAGAATATTGGAAATTTCATGGGATGCTGTAAATAGAAAAACATGGATTTTAGCTTGCTTTCTACTATTACAGAGATCTAGATTGCATAAACAGCGTAGTTTTCAACTAGTGTCCATACTCTCGTCATTTTGTCGTGTGTGGTGAATTTTCTGGACGTATTTGTAGATTCTTCAGTGCTTTTTATTGTGACATTACGAGTCACCCTAAACAGAAATGAAAGCAAATAAGCATTCTGAATTTGTTATCTTGTCGATACTGAGAAGAAGTCAAAATATGCACTTAGCTCCTTCTCCTCACTTTGGGAAAGCTATTCCAAATAAAAAAACGGAATCTGTTTAGGTGGTAATTGCAGCATTGATCACAGTTTACTTTAAACGGATAGACAAGAACGGATAGGTGACCTGGTAGTGCATTCTTTGCCAATTGTACGTTTGTAAGTGTTTTGTACAGTCCATAGTGTGCCAAAAAATAATGCTTTACTGCTTTCTTGCAAATAGTTCCACAGTCTCTTTTATTCTTTTCCTAATACTCTATTTGTGTTTTCCTTACTATAATGTTGGACTAATAGAACAAAACTAATCTAATTTTATATAGTTCAAGCTATACAAATCTGATTATCTGCCATAGACACCCACATAATTAATCTTTTTAAATAAAACTTTTAATATTTCATGAGCACCTCTTGTGTAATGGAAGACATTTTTGTGGAACATTTGCTTAGCAGCTTACTTTTCAGTAAGTTGAATTTCCTAGGTAAATCTAATAGTAGCATTGCCTGTTGAGCTGGCCACTATTTTCTAGTAGTTGGTTAATATTACAGTTGATGTTGCTGATTCCTGTGTTGCTGTTATGATGAAATTCTTAAGAGGTGACTATAGCAGCAGTAACATTTAAATCTTCTTTATCTATCAAAAACTCCTGTCAAACTAACAAGAGCAGTGCTAACATGTTATTATTCTGATGAGTTCATACCAAGTGTAGTTCTACCTATGCCTTTATAGTATTTCATTTAAATATTATAATAATTTTATTTAATTAACATTACTTCATAGAAACAAATGGAGACAATTAATATTAACTAATGATAGAGATAGGTAGGTAAGAAGTGATGGAACCGATATTTCCTGATGTTAATTGGGGGCTGAATTGTTTTCAGCCAAGTGCTTATGCTTTTTGCAGTAACCAACACCACAAAAAGTTATGAACGTGGCTGTATCAGCATTGTATCCGTAGGAAATTATATATCGTGGACTGTGGGATGTTCTTCAGGTCTGTGTGTGGTCATCCCGTAGCGTTGTATTCCTGCCCTCCTTGTTTCACCCTCGCTTCCCCGTGCCCCTCCAGCTGCTGCGAGGGGCTGTTACAGAGTGCTTTGCTCTCTGCAGCGGGAGGGTGGAATTGTGCTTTGTATCTGTTACAGAAAAGCTAAGACAACCTTTTGCAAAATGATACTTTCTGAAGTATCCTCTCCACTGATTATATTCATTCAAAATAATTCAAAGATGCAAAATGCGTGGAGATCAACGGGAACCAAGAGTCTTCTCTCAAGTGTCTGAATTTCCCAGAAATACTGTTTCGTCACAAGTGAAAGGTAGACTAAGAAGAATGATGGCATCAAGATGAAGTGATTTTTATCTTGTTCTTATAATAAAAATGGTCCAGCTTGAATATAACAGGTCTAACAGAGCAGTGCCCTACTGATACTACTGAAGATTTTACAGCGTTCCTTTGATGTTGCCTGACTGCCCTCTTCAGGATGACGGCGAAGGTGTTGGCCTGCTGAATGTTACTGTCTGTTTCTAGAATTAACCAGCCTAATGCCTAAATCACATGGGTTTTGTATAATTGCAAACTTTGCCCAGTGAGGGTGTTAAGTAGCACATTTTACTCCATCTCGGGTAAGAAGGGTGATAGTTTAGTTTTGTGGTGCTGCATGAGGTTTATTCTTCAGGGGTAAGAGATCATAAAATCTCATTTTAACTTCTTTTTTATGATAGGTTTTTTTCATGTACAGTATATTCCTTGATACAACACACCTCTGCGGGAGTTGTATGCCATCTATTTCATGCCGAAAGCTGATGTCAGTTATGAGGAAATGGGGAGGCTCCTGTGACATCTGTGATCCTGCTGTCCTCTTCCCCCTCTTTGCTCTCTCAAAATACCAGCTATATTATGTGCGTTTAGTGAAGAGTTTCTTTTGCAACACACAGCTTTTTGCATCTACAGCTTTTAAACAAACAGCATTCTGCACCTTCAGACACGTGGAGCTGGTTTTGTAGAAACACTGTTTTGAGAAAAGCTGCGGAATACATTTATTTATACTTCTGCATCTTACCATGTGCAAAGATAAATTCCCAAGTGGTAGTGCCTTAGTTTGGACTCTACAGCAGATACAATTAGTTAGCAGTATGGAAATAATTAGCAAAGGATCCTTTGTAAAGCTAAAATTACTGGCAAGGATCCTTTTGGGTGGGTTTTTTTTTTTTCCTTCCTGAATTATGCACTGATACAGACTTGTCCTGGGGAAGAACCTGTGGTTTTATGGTTCTGTGACTGTGTGTTTAGAGAATGTTTCTGCTGGTAAGGATCCCAGAATTCTTCTCCTGGAATTACTTTTTTCCTTTCTGCTTAGTGTAAATCTATTTATTTTTTTGGTTTGGTTTGGTTTTTTTTCTGCTTTTGAAACACACCAACAAACAAACAAAACCCACCCAGCCAAAAAACCTCACCTGAATACAGAGCCGTACGTAAAGCCAAGAAGAGGCTTTCTGACAAATATGCGTAGTAGCAATAGGACTTTCTAGTGATGATAGATTATTTAACCCTATATGTTGTGCAAAATTGTCCTTTATCACTTTGAAAACAAGTTTTGTAGAAATAATCTTGAGCGTATTGTGCTACTTGCAAGCCTCCTGTTCGTTTAGTTGGTATCGTTTCCCCGGTGCTTGGCAGTTTCCATGGCTCTTTCTGTGGCTCTGCTATTTTAGGAAGATGCCTGCTGTCACATTTCTGTGCTGCTTTTCCAGGAGTTTCAGAATTCCTTACCTGCGGTTGTCTTTAGCGAGTAAATCCTGGTGTGGTCCTCAAGGGCCACGTAAGCCTCTCCTTGCAGGGATCGGTCAGCAGATCTGCGTGGCGCTTGCCGCTCAGGCCACTCCTGTTTTCTGAGACTTTTAAATACGGAAAACATTACTTTTGGTTAACGTCATCTTGGGAGAATGTATTTTTTTCTAATTCTTTCGAATTTTGGAGAAGGCAGGTTTGAAGCGAAGAGTAACATAACTTTGAACCTTGTATTAATTGAGAGTGTGGGTCTTGCGAATGATGCTGCAAATGGGATTCATCTAACCGCTGCAGCAGGTTATGGAATCTTTTTTGCCAGCAAATGCCACATTGGATGTACGTTTGTTTCTTTTCCTTAACAGGCAAGCTAACGAAGAATATCAGGTGCTGGCTAATTCATGGCGCTATTCGTCTGCTTTTTCAAACAAACTGTTTTTCACAATAGTGGATTACGATGAAGGGGCAGACGTTTTTCAGCAGGTAAACGTTGGATGCTGTCAAACATTCGTAATTTTTAGAACTTCATGTTGATTTGCCAAATGATACAAGACAAATTATTTCCTCTATATAGGTGTGTACCTCTGTGTTTTGTATACAGATTCTTCCTGGATAAAACTACCAAGCACTGCAGTTTCTGTGACATCAGCCAAGGCAGGTTATACCGGTAGCCACTTCTAGTTCATTTTCCAAGTGTAGTTTATAATGTTTGTCTATAGATTACATTATATGTATGCAAATTTCTTTCAACCCATTGTTAATGTCATTTTTTAGAATTAAACACAATGCAACTAAAATTTGCTTTCAAAGATTTCCTGTGTTTTATCTCCAGTGGAAAAACCATCTTAACTGAAAGAGCCTTTTAATTGCTTTTATGTAATGCAATATTCTTCAGCTCCAGGAACATTTGTATTAGTCTGGAAATTCTTCAGGGAAAAGAGAAGACTGGTTTAGATTTTATATATTGGCTATGAAGAGTGAAAAATGAGTTGCTGGAGAACAGTCTAAGGCCCCTTCTTAAATTGAGTAGTCAAGGCAAAACGCATCTCTTGAAAATTAACGCTGAATACTGACATGATTTTCTTTGATATTTATCCGTTGGTTGAAGCTAAAAATGCAGATTAAGAGGAGTGACAAGTTTTGAAGTTCTTTGTATTTTTAACCACCTTCTGGCGAAGTGTGTAGTTTAAAATTTTCAGGGGCATAGTTTAATATTTATTTTTAAAGTACTTAATTTTAAAAGTTTAACTACTGTATTTAGTAAATATTTTTGCTTCCAATTGATATCTTAGAATGTATTCTGTCAAGAATGGTTATTAATGGCTTAAGATTTCGCTTTAAAAATTTTAATTCAAATAAGTTTTTAAGATCATCTTATGTTATCCTACATGGTTACAATAATACAAAGTATGTTGATTGATCTTGCCTTAAGGCAATCAATATGTATTAGAATAGCCCTGTCCAACGTATTCCTTGTGCAAAAGGACACAGATTCAGTTTATTTCAGGTGGTATGCATTTAAAGTCATGTAAAAGTTAGACCAAATTAGATAAAATATGTACATTTCTAACTGGTTTTGAGAAATACAGTGGTAAGAGAAAGTGACACTAAGGACTGTTTTAAGGGGAAAGTGTTGTTCTATCCTATGTGTGCAAACAAGACGTAATATTGATGCCATAGCAAAAAACCCACGAAAAGTAATGTGACTTTGATTTGTCAGCTTTTATTCTGCTACGGAGAACTGACAAATGGACTGAATATGGAGGAATTTTATATAATAAAATTATATTCTCCTGTACCACCTTGCAAAGTGAAAGTGAGAATTTAAGGTGGTACACGTAAATGTGAAACTATTTGTTCATCACCTTTGAGTTTTTTGACATACTGTGAATAGTTCCAGTGACATCAATACATGGATTAACAGTCATGTAATTTGTAGGGCATATTATGTAGTCTAAGCTAGGTGTTGAAGCTTTTCTGGAGTTAGAAAAGTCTACTCACTAGTGGGTAGTATGTCTTGAAGCTGGTGGAAAGCTAGCTGAATAGTTTAGTTACCTTTGGATTGGTGAGAGCTGGGCAAGAGAAACAATGTCAAGCTATTTGGACACTGTTTTCCTCCCCTAGAATTATGAGCAAATATTCCTCAGTAGATTGGCTGGGTGTGGGTGCTCTGTTCTACTAGTTGCAGGAAAGTTCTCATGGTGTGTGAGAACTTTAAAGCATAAGGTACTCTTACTCAGAACAGCTTGTGGGTGAAATCCTCTGAATAATTAAATATCCCAAAGAATGTGCTGGAACGAATATTCTGAGCACTCTTTTTGTAGGACTCTACATGAAGATGTATAAAAAAGAGTAATGTATGCAGGCCAGTAATATTTTTATGCTAATTAGACTTGTGTTGTACATAAAAAGTAAACATTTTTGAGGATAGAGTTACTAATTTTTTTTTCTGCTGTTTTTCCTGGGTGTGTAGCTGAACATGAACTCTGCTCCGACTTTCATGCATTTTCCTCCGAAAGGTAAACCCAAGAGAGCTGACACGTTTGACCTGCAGAGAATCGGATTTGCAGCTGAGCAGCTAGCTAAATGGATAGCTGACAGAACAGATGTTCATGTAAGTCTGTCGACAATTTTAAAAGTTGAAGTCAAATGTAGCCTTGTAGTCTGAGACAGGCTGATGACAAATTCCATCTTTCCTTAGTACCTTTTTTCCATCAAGTGTAGGTTTGAGAACACACAAAAAAATAAATATATTTATATAAATCATGGTTCTTGTGGTACCTTCTGCAGTTTGCAGATTACATTCCACTTTTGCTTTGTTAAATTGTGTGTAGTCTTATTTGGGATGAAAACAAGCAGTGATATTGTGATAATTAGTTGTTAAGAAGTAAAATGTGCTTTGCAAGACTATGTACAAAACGGATCCAAAGTTTAACTGCTCCTAATTCAGACACAACCTGCAAATCTGTTGACAAAATAATGTTTTGAACAGTTCAAAATGACGCTTAAAACTTTTTTTTTCATATTTTGTGCTTATTAAAGGAGGTCCTATTTTTTCTTATTTAAGTATACCTTTAGGGATTAGTCTTTCTGACTCTGAAACAGATTTCAGATGCTCTCAGTTTGTTTATGTGGAAAGTGATCTGTATGTATGCATTTACTTGTGATCTGTCTTTGCATTTATCTTTTCCAGATCAGAGTGTTCAGGCCTCCTAACTATTCTGGTACAATTGCACTGGCTCTTCTGGTATCTCTTGTTGGTGGTTTGTTGTATCTGCGAAGAAATAACTTGGAGTTCATCTACAACAAAACTGGCTGGGCCATGGCAGCTCTGGTGTGCAGATTTTCCTTACTAATATGCTTTTCATTAGTTTCTTATCATAGTATGTGTATCTTCATTACTTGCACAGTAAATTAAAACCCATTGTATTAATACATTGTTCAGAATGGTACGATCAGATAAAGATTTATAATCTAGATTTTGGGCCTAATTCTCATAACCAGTGACTGTCAGTTACTACAAGTGATTCACTGAAAGTTGGCAAATTCTCTGACAGTTAGCTGTAGATTTTTGTCTGAACTTTAACAGAAAACATTTCTAATAGAAAGTGTTGCTAATGTTCACTGCTGTCGTTCAGCTTGCCCTTTTTTGTAAAAGCAGCAATGTTATGGTTGGTTTAGTGTAGATACTAATGTCAGACTGTATCACTTTAGAGTAATGGGTTAAGAAAAGCAACAAACGCTTGTATTTGTTTGTAAGAAAATTATAAAAGAAAAAAGAAACAAAGAAAAAGGCGGCTTTCTTTCCCAAGCTGGTTTCAGTAGCACTGACCTTAACATTCCATTGTTAACCGAGATGAGAATAGGATGATCTTACAGGGTTAACTCTGAGGAAATTCGAAAACTAGCAAATAGTCTGTTTGAAATAGTAGTCAACTAAACCCTCAAGGCCATAAATAATGAATTAAGGTTTAACGTGCTTAAATAGTGTATTGCAGTGTGTTTATTTAGAACAGAGTTTTCAAATAACTGAGTAGACTGATGAAGATGCGGTCTGTGTTGCACAGTCAGCTGTCTCGGTTTTAGATAGGAATAGCGTGCAAGGATGCTAGAGAACAGTTAAGGTGTATTGGTAAGCACTCATTGCTCTGCCACCATTGCTACTGACAGAAGAGGAAAAATCTGAGAAGCAGAAGCTCCCTCCTTCTGTATTAGCAATGTATTAATTAACTGAGAACAGTACTTCTTAAAAAATTGTCCATCTATTTTGTACACCATAAGCCAAGTTTTTCATCTTTTTCCGTGGAAATGGTTGTTCATTCACTTCATCATTTCAAAGACTTTTTCTAAACTTGCGTCAATATGAATGAACCTTTCTTGAAAGCTCATGGCTAGGTTTGTAGATGGAATAGGAGTTTCCTTGTGCAGCAGCATTTATATTTCATTTCTCATCTAGGCTCCCTTTCCCAAGAAAGCTTGGACCAGATGGTATTTTGAGGTCCCTTCCAACCTGGGCTATTCTGTGTATTTTAGCTCTGCCAGAAGTAGGTTACTGGTAATTGTTTTTGCCGTTCAAAGCCACGTCATATTGATGGTTTGCTGTTCTGCTCCAATTCAACAAGATGAGAAGATACCTTCTTTTGTGATATGTTCAGCTGATGAGTCCGTTAACAGCCTTTATTACATCAGTTCAAAAACAAAGTTACCTAGTACCCGTTGGGCTCTAACTCATTTTTATATCTGAATGATCAACAAGATCTTGAAGCAAGCTCTTTGTTCAAAATGCCTTTAATATTTGGCATTACTCTTGAGTAATGGCTACTGGTAATGCTGTTTTCTCTCATGTGCTGTCATAGCATTTCCTACTACTGTACATGGCATACATTCTTTGTTTAAACAATTTTGTTAATCTGCCCCGTACGCTGAGGAAGGAATAGAGATCAGGATTTCAAATAAACCCCCTCCAGGGCTACACTTCCAGTAGAATGATGTTTCGTTTGACCTAGAGAGCTGGGAGCAGAAGGTCGTCTTTGTTCCAGGATGTCACTTGGAGCATCCTGAGCTCTGACGCAGAGTTTTGACAGTTCTCTTCCAAAGTCTGTAATATGTAGTTCCATATATTTTTCTAGATTACCGGTATTTTTCAATGATAATACTTTTTAAAGATGCACTGCTACCAGAAAGCTCAACTTTCATATGTATCAGCCTGTTTTTTGGACTCCTAATTAAATATCTTTAGAAATCACCTGAATAAAACAATAATTAGCACACCAAAATAGATGCTTGTGTCAAAAATCAAATAAAGATATGTAATCAGTGATACTTCCTTTTTTTAACCATGCATTATATTTCTGGAGAAAGCATTTTTATTCCAATTACATACCTCAGGGTGTCAGATCAGAAATTTTATGTCTTAATATTTTTGAGATTTGTGGTTTTTGTCTTGCAGAGGTTAAAAATCAGTTCTTCGAATCAAGAATCCTTCTATTACAATCGGCATTTAATAAATGGTTGGAGACATAATTAACTTTCTAATTAAATTAAGAAAATTAACACTTCAATTCTGTCTTAAAATATTTGCTGTTCTTCTTAGCAGCAGCTGGACATTTTACATCTGAATGTAACTGTAAATTGCAATGTAGAAAACTTATAACCACGTTCAGCTGAACCCCGTGGACAGGGTCAATGTCCAAATGTGATCAAACATTTAAAGAAACTGTATTAATGCAGTTCAGTAATTGTCATCCTGCTGACTGTGTTGACAAGCAAAATTAGTGGCCTTTATTGTTGTTGCTAATACTATTCCCTGTAAAATTCTGTTTATGTTAAAAATGAATAGCGCTTAGAGGATATTTTAGGAAAAGGTCTTATAGCTGAAGATCTATAGCAGCAGTTAATCATGGCGTTGAGCCAATGCTTCCCTTTTTTAATCATTACTGTTCTTTTGCCTTCACAATGTTGTCAAAGCCCCATACTGCAGAATGATGTTTTAGCAAAGACTATGCAATTACCAGAAGTCCTTTTGGTTTTATTCAGAACTACATGGACAGACAAATTAATGTTAAAAGGTCTATTTGGAGGAATCAGCAGGGACTCCAGATTGCAGGCTTTTGTACAGATGACCTTAGTCTGTAAAATGACTAGACTATGTCAAGTTCTGTAGAAGAAAACAGATAGTCACTAATATATTAATTCTAAGGTATTGTGTAGTTGTGATTCTCTTACATGGTGCTTTTTTGTACCAGTAAAATTTAGAACATCTTTTTTCATAAAAGCTCATTAAAAGGAAAAATGGAGAAGATTGTGTCTAGTTAAAGGGAGTGAGTCATGCCTAATAAAATGCACTTATGAAGTGTATAAACTAATAAATAATTTTAAAGAATTATATTCTTCATGAATATTTTTTGCTTTTTGAACTTTACGAAACAAATTAAAGAGGGAAAGCCTGGCAAGATGTGTAAAACCTACAGGAAGCGCATGTTTTTGGTAGGAGTATGGGCCATTATTTTGTTCCTTAGTGGCAGTTCTTTTTACAGATGTTGCAGAACTGAGAAAGCACAGGAGCTTTTTTTGAAAGGTGCAGTTTTGGGTTTTGAGTGTTGCTGGGGAGGTGCTGTACTGCTAGGTAGCTGGCATTTGTTGGCTATATGGAAAATAACACTTAGTTTCAGCTGAAACTCTTTCATAGATATTCTGGAATTCAGTAACTGAAAACTGTATCGTCGCAAACAGACAAGTCTCTGGTTTTCTCTTCCTTGTTTTTCAGAGCTTCTTAGTTCATTTTTCAGAGCTTTTATTCTCTCAGATGTTGGATACTTTTTATTTAAATGAAAAATGGAGAGTGCCTTTCTGCCTGATTGAGTGAAACGTTCCTAAAAATCAGAAAAATATTCTCAGCATAAAGTGCATCTGCTGTTTTTGCCAGCAGGAGAACAGAGGATCCCAGAAGTGTTGGCAGGATTTTTATTTGATATCTCCATTGATACCAAAAACATTTCATCTCATAGGTATTTTTCCAGCACTGTTCTCAGAGAATGTTTAAGAATGCAATTTTAGGTGATCCATGTAGTGGTTTTGATAGACTTTCAGAAGCAAGACCAGAGCTTTCACATCACATGTTGATTCCAGTGCCAGTTCCACAAGACTGTTGAACTGGTTTTGTCCTCAACATTCCATTGCGCAACAGAAATGCTATTAGCGACTTCGTCCCCTTGTTGAAGCACTGCAGGCTCCGGTTGTATCTTGTGTGCCTTAGGCGTTTTTACTTGCAACATTACCCAGAAGACGTTGAGAATGGCAAACCATGATGGTTGAGTCACACTACATAATATCCCAGAAGATGTCTTTTGAGACCACATCCCAAAATTATCCGCTAGATTATTTTAAGTTTTAATTCAAATCCTACTGTTCATCTGTGGATTTTTTTCCTTCTGACACGCTAGCAAAAAGATGAGAAAGGGCTTTAGTCCTTAGATATTTGCAGAGTCCTGTCGTTTTATACTGATAACAAGAAGCAATTCAGATTCTTGTCAAGGCTCTTCATTTTTTAAGCAGAGAGAATAAAAGGTCAGACAGTATAAGTTGGGGAAATTTCTAACATTGTAGATAAGGAATTGCTACATTTTAGACCACGGTACTGGTGCTGAGAGTTTATTTGTTCAGCTGGCTAGAACATAGGCTACTAGGGGGCTTTTTACAGCGTTTTCTTTACCAGGCTGCCACCATGGTTTTCTGCATGTAATTTTCAGTTTTATTTTATGTGTGTATTTCAGATTTGCCTGTACACCTGAGGAGTCTGGAAAGGCAAAGTCTGTGCTCAGATTCAAAGGCAGCTGCCTAGGAGTTGACTGTATTGGGCAATATAATATCAAGTCACTTGAATGCGGAGACAAAGCGTGTGTTTACTGTTGTCGTAACAGTTAATGGTTAGGAGAAGCGTGTTCTGTGCTGATCTGTTCCACGGTACCTATTCCATACAGTACATTCATCATCAGTTATTGCTCTAAAAGGGCTTGAAGGGCTACTGGTGCCTTCTTTACCTCCTTCTGGGAAAGAGGATAAAAAAGTAATGTGTTTTATTCAAAGATACAGCTAGAAAAAGTCAGGCTCCTCTACGTGAGCAGATAGGCATCTCAAAGGAACAGCAATAAATGCAGATTATTAATTTCTTTTTCTTCCCATAGTTAGAGGTTTTAGAGATGCATAGTACCTTTTGAAGATACAGAAACCCGTTCTCTTTGCTTCTGTGTTGCACTCCCTGTCCTTGAATTGTATATCTCTTATTGGAGATTCTAATAAATGATGGATTGTTATTGAAAAATTGAGTACGGTTCTGGCAGCTCTGTAGCCTGCATTGAGTAGAAAAGCAAAGTTAAACTGGATAGAAAGGATTACATTTTTTTAACTCAGTAATTGTGAGATGGCTAAAACTTACTTATAGAGAACAGTATAGAAATTAAGTACAGAACTGGCTACTTGTGTGTCCCCTTTTTTTGAAACCATGCTTGAATTTAGAAATTAATCTAGAATTTAATTATCTTTCTTATGTTACAAAGTATTTGCCATGTTCCGGGATCTAAACTTACAGAGAGAAAGCTAACGATCTGCTTTGTATAGTATCTGCTAGTAGGAATCTTCACTTTGAAATGCATACCAAATGGCTTTTTAAGTCTCAAGTAATTTTGTTTCATAAACTGGCAGATAATGTTAAACAAAACTTACACCTTTGAGAAAGTGGTGCATTAAACCCGTGTCATTTGACAAAGCTTGCAAGACCAAGAACAGTCGAGAAGTTCTGCCCGTGTACCTGTAAAGTTGTGTGTTGCTAACAATTCAGTGTTCTGGTGGGACTCTTGGTGCCTGTTTGCCTTGCGTCTGTTCTGAGGAGCCTCGTGGCACACACGCAGGTGAGCTCAAAGCAGTTTCCCTCTTAGAGAAACTAAGGCTGAAGTCACGCACTGTGAAGCCCTCAGGAAAGCACTGCTTGCAATTTGTTACCAAGGTCCTCGAGTAGCCCTGTCTATGCACACAGTGTACTTACCTAGGACTGGTAATAGGGCTGAACTTCGTTGCCCCTGAAGACATCCCGTGGACAGTTGATCCTGGAACCGTGATGTGTTGCAGCAAATCGTTGTTCCTTCCCTCTCTTTGCTAGTAATCACTACCAGTATGCTTTCATCTGCCACATTAATTACTGTACTGTTACATCCCAAATCCTGTTAAGGGCAAAATGAAACACCTCATATTTAAAGCCAAGAATCTGTTCTTAGCGTAATTGAAATCTTAACACTACAACAAAGAATTATTATTTAACCAGATAGGAATTTTTTTATTATTTTCTTTTTCTTTCTGTTACAAGTGCAAGAAGTCTCAATAATAACAACAAAGTTAAAATCACTATGCACACGCTTCCCAGTATCTTTCGCTTTCTCTGATGTCGTGGTTACTCTTCCACGGTTTCTCTGTGGATCTTGAGATCATTCAGTGGCTTTGGTTTGGGGGTGCTGTGGTGAATTGTCAAGTGTTCCAGGTTCTTTGCTGGGAGGGGTATGATCCTGCTGCTTTCTTCCTTCTTGCTCTAGGATCCACCTGGGGCTACTTTTACGCCTTGTCCTTCCTTAACTGCAACTACATTTTACATCAGAATTTACTGGGTAAATGGGGATTGTCTTACATACGTTGGATTCTTGTCCTTTGTTCTCTTTCTTACCTCTAAAACTGGTTTTGACCAGCGCCCATGTCTGCTTTTCTTTAATTCACCATTGGCGTAAGATTTATGGACTTGAGGTCTCCAGTGTAATCCTGTGCCTGCTTTCTTACCATTCCATACTGGTACACTGCATCCTGTCTTTCCACTTTTGCTGTCTCTTCTATCATCCCATGCCTACACTACATCATTATTTTGGTTGTAGTTATTTCACCCTAAATGGAATAGAAAAAAATGTATTATGCCATGCAAAGATAAGTGAAAGTATTGTAAGCTAGGCATAGCCACCTGGTCTTTGGAAAAATAGCTGTTTCAGCTAGACAAGTTAAAAAAACAATATCCAGGAAAGCCAAGACAGACTTGGATAAAGCCTGACAAGATTCCATCCTGAGGCCTTCCAAAGTTTGCTCAATTCATATTGCTAGAGATGGCAGTGCTGCATTTATGGGGACACAGAGCTACACTAGCTTACATATATTTCACAAATTTGTTACTAAACATTGTTTAAAGAAAACCCTTCAAAAAGTTTTAGTAAGCCCTGATTTAGTTAAGCATCATGGTACGAATTTTTACATTCATGATCCATCTGCTTAAATCACTGTGTCTATACTATGCTGGTGGGAATATTGATGTACAGTAAAAATGGGCATATATGTATAAACTGTACTGAAATGATCGTGGAGTTTTTGTTAGGGATTGTCTGTACTGAGAAGTCAGAAGACATACTTAGATCATCCAGATTTCCCATTTCTTTTTTCATTTGGTAGTCAGAAGATACTATATTTTCGTCTTTAAGTTAGTCATAATGACTCTTGCTATGACTGCGATGTTTGTCGTGTAGATTCAGCAGTATGACCTTCTGCGAGAATTAATGTCCGTTGTTACAGTTTTCATACATTCCTAACCTAACTCCACACTTCTTCCCATAGGGAATTTCACTTTTCTACCAGCTGAACCACTGTTATTTGTCATAGCTAAGAGGAATCACAGTCAGATAGGACACACAATGAGAATTTCATAAGATGGGACAGGGGTTTTTTTTGATAATTGGATTTTTTTTTTATGGTTTTATATATCATTTCGTACACCTGAAAACAAACAGTTAAGCTAAATATTTATATCAGATTAGAGGCAGAAATAACTTCATGAAAGGTTTTCGAAATCTCAAACACTAGTTTGTAGAATATTTCAAATGGATGCCTTCTACTGCTATGAGTGCTTTTTGCCATATAGATGTGCAAATGTGGCAATTCTTAGTGCACATAAAGACAGGATTATTTCAAGTGAGATTTTGAAAATCTCTGTTTTGAGCCAACTCGTTTTCTAACGGAAGTCATTATGAATTTTATGAGAGCAGCACATCTGAAAACCCAGTTCTAAAAATCAAATAGAGGTAGATATTGTATCTGGTTAGATAAACAATTATGTATCTAAAACAACCATCACCAGCAGAATGGCTTTCTATTCAGTTCTTCTGGGTGGATAATTGAATATATTGGTTTTTTGTGTTTTCTAGTGTGTTGTATTTGCTATGACGTCTGGTCAGATGTGGAATCACATCCGTGGACCCCCGTATGCACATAAAAATCCTCAGAACGGACAAGTGGTGAGTTGGTTCTTTTAATTTTATTTTGAGGGGAAATATTATATAGTCACTCCCTACAGTGAGTTGACAATAGCAAGTCATTGCGGTTCCGTAGCCCTGTGTGACAGTGTGCCAGCCTTAAGCCTCCAGCTGCAAGCAGAGTCGGTTTGGGAATTTCAGATGTTTAGAAAGTTTGACCATCTGTGATTTGATCAATGAAACAGGTGGCCATGTTTTTCAAAATTCTCATTCTCAAATCTGCTGTCCAAAGATAAATGGATGTTACGTCTTTTTGTAGAAATGTGCTCCTTCACGAGGTGAAAAGCAAGTTTGGAGGTTTTCCTCTTTTCAGGCTCCATTTACACTAACCTCTTATCTTCCTCTTTCTTGAGCATTTTTGTTAGAAAAAGAGATGGCAAGTATTTTCATGTGCCTTATATTTTTCGTGTGGTTTTTTTCCATCATGAATGTAACTCTTCCACTGAAATTTATGGAATGCTTTCTCCTTTATCTCTTCAATCCTTCAATTTAAATCCTTTATCAGTAGTTGGTTACTGCCAAAATTACTCTTGTATCCTGCTACTGCTGTCTGTGAAAGAATTCTCTTACTTGCTCCTTCCTGCTCAAAAATTAGCAAATGTTTATCAGAGTTCAGAAGGAGGATGAAGGGCATCTTGGTTAGTTTCTACCACCCTTTGTTGTTTACCACTTTTCAAGCAAGTTGTTGGGGTGTAATCTACAAAACTTGCAGTGAACTTAGTGGTCAGGGAGCTATTTCATGACCAGTGCCCTGTCAAGCTATTTTCAGCTTTGACCATCAGTGGTTAAAGGAGACTGGCTTATGGCTTAAAGAAAAAAATTATCTGAAGCTCCCTTTGTGTCATATCTTAATCAGACTAGCACAAAAATGACGGTTTGAATTTGATTATGAATTTGCTTTGTATCATGAATGTAGCAGCATATTGATGTCGTAAAATGACGTGATTCTATCTGTCAACTTTGTTGTGCAGAAGTAGAACTGATAACATAAATAAGCTCGGTAAAACACTGTGTTTATAAAAATTTAGAGTTTTTCATTACTGCCTTGCAGTATTAAATTTGTGATGCTTTCTTACGGAGTGACAGAAAGGAGAAATACTGCATAGAAACAGCACTGTTTGTGACAAACTAATTTTTACCATATCCAGTGTTATACACGTTGCTCTTAGACCTGTTTCTGAAGTATAGACTGCATTAAATCATTTAAAAATACTGCTTTATTTGTTCCTGATTTTGTGCCATCTCGTCTCAGAGTGTGACCTCATCATACCCTGCCTGTCTGAAAAACTACTGGTTTGTGAGTGTTAACACACACAACTGACTAACGAGTATAATGATAGAGATGGTTTTAAGTCCTAGTTACTAACCTGCTGTGGTAGTCAACACACATACCTTCTTCTGTGGTTTAGCTCCATTCAGCTAAATTAGTTTTTCCTCTGATTCACCTATCTCTCCTTGTTCATATGTGTCAGTGCTTTCACCTCCTGGCAGCGATGTCTGTGTCAGTCAGTAAAACCAATCAGATTCTAAGAATGAAGCAAAATACAGGTGCAGGATCACCAAGTTACGGATTTATTTAAGAGATCACTGGCCACTACAGTTGTAACTTAAAGCTCTGGTTTTTACCAGTGTTACAAGCATAATAAGTATTCTGTAAACCTTTAACTTTTTTTCATTGCATTTTTTTTTCAAATAACATTATTGAACATTTTCCTGTTTCATTTTTCTAGCACTTATCTATGTTCCTCTGAATTTAAAGTCATAAAAGTGCTTATCTAACACTTCTATGAGATTTATTCAACCATGGCAATTCACTGTTACGTGGTTCTGCGTTAAGGTAGCAACTGCTGTCTTTACATCTGGGTGAACTTTAACTCATCACTTTCTTTCCCGTGTCCAGGATTTAGTACCAATTCCAAATTTCCATACTAGTTTTGTACCAGGATTACTTGCATGTAAGGCTGAAGCACTGTTAACAGTCTTACCTTGTAAAATTCTGTTTTAAGAGGAGTCATAGAATAGCTCACCAAGCTTGTTTTATTGTTAGAGTCAAATTTACTAATTCTTAGCTTTTCCTATTTCATAGGAGCTAGTGGTTGAGTTCTGCCCTAGCTGTAGAGCCTGATATACCACCAGACTTTGAAAGTGAGAATATTATCTCTTCATAAACTGTTCCTTGCCTCAGATATCTCCTATTATTTGCTTTGTTCTTGTCAGAATTTTAGATGACGCTTCATTCCTGTTCCTTAAATTCCTGTTTTTCAAAAGATGAAAAGGCATTTGTTTACTTTGCTTAAACATCACTACTTACTAGTGCCAGTGTCTTGTAGCAGTAACATTACCAGTTCTTAAAATTTTTGGCATGTGCACTGTGTTTATGATTCTTTGCTCGATTATCTGAATTACTTTAATTCTATGATTGTATTCTTTGAACGAAGCTTTTAAACCATATTTTTGTAATTCTGTGTGGGTCTGTTGTGTGAAGTTGATGTGCTCTCTTACTGGGGTTGTTGCAGTTGCTTCCTTTATTCCCTGCTGCCGTCAGCTAATTTCAGTTTTTGGGTCCACATGAAAGCAGCATCAGTTATTTAGAAAGCTGAGTCACACAGTGCTGCTGTTTGATGTTTCAGTTCACAGAATCACAGAATGTTCAGGGGTGGAAGGGACCTCTGTGGGTCACCCAGTCCAACCCCCTGCCAAAGCAGGGTCACCTACAGCAGGCTGCACAGGACCTTGTCCAGGCGGGTCTGGAATATCTCTAGAGAAGGAGACTCCACAGCCTCCCTGGGCAGCCTGGGCCAGGGCTCCGTCACCCTCAGAGGGACTAAGTTCTTCCTCATGTTCAGCTGGAGTTTCCTCTGCTTCCGTTTGTGCCCATTGCCCTTTGTCCTGTCACTGGGCACTACTGAAAAGAGTCTGGCCCCGTCCTCCTGACACCCACCCTTCAGATATTTATAAGCATTTATTAGGTCCCCTCTCAGCCTTCTCTTCTTCAGGCTGAACAAGCCCAACCAACTCCCTCAGCCTCTCCTTGTAGGAGAGATGCTCCAGTGCCCTCATCATCCTCGTAGCCCTCCGCTGGGCTCTCTCCAGTAGCTCCTCATCTTTCTTGAAGTGGGGAGCCCAGAACTGGACACAGCACTGCAGATGGGGCCTCACTAGGGCAGTGTAGAGGGGAAGGAGAACCTCCCTCGTCCTACTGGCCACACTCCTCCTAATGCACCCCAGGATCCCATTGGCCTACGTTGATGAAGTTGGTGCTAGTCTGCTATCTTGACATGTTCTTTACCTTTGTTATATTTTTGCAGTTCCTCATCTTTTATAGTTTTGTTAGGATTAGGCCCTTACTGACTGTGTGACACTAAAATCTGTACCGGTTTTACCGGAGTTGAGAGTGAAAACTCAACATCCCCTTGGTGTCTGTACGTGAACAGTCTTGGGAGAGTTCTCACTTGTAGACAGAGCTTGGTCTGTAGAGATAAGCAGAGAGCTGGAGAAAGCAATTACATATTTTTGAGCCTCCTGCCCAGGTAGTGCTGTTGCTGTTTAATTGACCTGATACCAAAGAATTCTCCTTAGATCTTCTTCATCTCTTAATCAAATAGCAGCAATGGCTAAGAAAGCATTGATGTATTTCTATCCAGGGGTTAGCAGCCATTGCTTTGACTTGGGTACAAATTCTACAATTTTTATTGTGTCATGTGCTCAAGACTGAACCTTTAAAATGATTGATAGTTTGCTACAAAAGAGAACAGGGCAAAGGACAAGCTTGGTCCAAAATACTGAATTAAGATGATTTTCAAAGCTCATGATTTTCTTTCCTTCTCTGAGAAGAAATGATGAGAAGTTGGAAAAGTTTTTGAATGAAGCGGGAAATATGACATTTTTATTGTCAGGTATTAGATGGTTTTCCTGCATAAGCTGATGCTTTGTGAAATGGATAATGGTATTGCCACTATATTAATAGGATTTTTTTTTTTACATGTCTTATATTTTAAAAGCTTGTTAAAATTGTTTAAGCATAACACAAATTCTGTCCTTAGGAAGCAATTTATATCTGCTTAGCAGATCTCTTAGAACACCTTGCAATATTAGATCAAATATAAATGTTCAGTTGTGGAGTTTATTCAGCTTTTTATTTTCCTGCTTACCTTTCACTGTTTTATAGCCGCTGATCTTTATTCAGGAGCAGTCGCTAAAATACCGCTTCTCAAATAGTCTAGCTGGTGTGGGTATATGTAATCTGTATGTTTCTGAAGTTAAATGGGAAATATGTTTGACTGTTGTTAGTCGTTTTTGCATTTGCCAATGCAGAATTAAGGTACTCTGTGAAAATTTTGTGCTTAGAATATCAAGATTCTTAATTCACATTGGTTCTCTACTGCTAAGCAGGACAAAGTGTCATTTATTGAAGCATATTCTGTGTTATCTGACATAACTTTTTCATATGAGTCTAATTAAAATAAATGGAGCTTTCTTGGAACAGTTTTAAAGAATGACTCTCCCTTTCCAGCTCAGTAAGTCACAGTAAATACATTGCCCTTGTGCCTTCAACCTTTCTGCATGTTTGAAGTACAGCTCGCCAAGATTGTGCTTGTGATGCCCAGCTCTTCTGAAAGTGACCAGATTGCCTGGTAGCAGTTTCCATGTATAAAGAAGTGGCTTTGCTGTGTGATATATTATTATGTATTTGTCTTGCTTTTGGATGAAAAAAAGTTCATACAGGTTATTATATCAGAGCAGTGAGTCTTCTCAGAAGCTGCAACTAGTAAAGGGTCTCTGAAGCCTTAAATTTAAATGTCGGTCTTGATTTAGTCAAAAAAATCAACAATTGGCGGTGTAAGATGGAGCACTAGTAGAAACCAAGGTTAATTCTGTTAACAGATGAGCACATGAACGAATAGGCAACATCGTATCGAAATTAGTGTTGGGAAGGCTGTTAACCTGTAGAAGACGTCTTTCCTAAGTTCTGAGATTGCAAG